CAAGCAACCGATATCTAAGTAAGCACCCAAATATTAGTCTTTAATACTATTTTTCATTTAAAATTATTGGTGAATTCACATTCAATCACATTACTTGCTTTGTGAAGATACGTCACTTATTTGACGTGTAATCAATGAAATTGGCAATCAAAATAACGATATGATCTAAAACATGAAAGAATCATGGTTTTCACTGATCACTTCATTGATTTCCTAGAAGGGCTCCGATTTCATGCATTTTTGGGATTCTGAATATTACTCATTGCGAATGAAATTTATTACCGTTTTAACCTTTTTTTCTCATGCGTTAAGAATTCGAGCTATTAGAGATTTAAGAGTAGACATTTTATTCAAGGAAAACTTTTAATGCTACGCACAATTTTCACAAATTCTTCATTTTTTATTCCAAAGATAGTTCTAAATATGAAGAGATATACTAGTTTCCATGTACAAATTGCATTTTTACAATTATTTCGTTATAAGGTGGTATGGTCTTTTTACATATTCTAAATAATAATTAATTTTTTAAATGGTAGGGTTTTTTGTGAAATATTCAACGATTTCAAAATATTCTAAAAAACAATTATTTTAAGTTTTACAAAAAAAAAAAAAAAAAAAAAAAAATGAAAAAAACTTCTATCCTCGCTCCCAGTTAAACCACCTCCGAATACAATACACGAAAAACGAAAACAAAACAAAAATGTTTGGCTCAATTCTTTCTAATTTAGACTGAACTTTAAGGAAATTTAACAAAAACAACAAGAAAACATTACAATAAATCTTTGTCTTTCAAAATAAACCAACGAATTATTATTGACAAAAATAAAGAAACAATTATACATTTATAGTTTAAACAAAACAAAAAAAAAAATATATATTAAAAAACGATTTACTTATTTTGCTAAAAAAATAATTCAATAATTTAAATCAAATGACTCAACTGAAAAAAATTGAAACAGAAAACGTATTTATTTTTCAAATATATTTAGTACCTTAAATAATTTTTAAATGAAATCTAAAAAAAAATTATTAATTCAATAAAAAAAGGAATAGAAAAAATACACATGGGCTAAAAAGTTTCGGATGTCATACAGAGGATTCCACTTCCAAATTTTTTGATGTAATTAGTTTTAATTTAAATAAAAGTATCTTCAAACTTGAGGTCTATATTGTTTTTGATTTGGTATTTAATCTAATATTTCGCAATTTTCAAAATGCATCTTCATATTACAAAATATTGACAATATTGATCGCAAACTCTAAGAGACTTTTATTTAAAAATGCGAGGGAAGATAAAAAATATGAATTAGTTTTACTCTTGGAATACTGAAAGCAATAGTTTCAAACCAATCCCTGAAATAGGGTATACAGGGTGAGATAAGAAAAACTGCAATAATAATTTTGACCTTTTTTTAAATTCTATATCCGCAATATTCGGAACTTTTTAGCCCATTTCTAAACTTAAAGAAAAGAAAATATTTTAAAAGACAGTAATTAAAACTTAAAGCAAAATTATTAAATAAATAAGAATTAAAATACCTATGCAAAAAAAAAAAAAAAAAACAAACATATATACACAAGAAAAATGAATAAAAAAAAACAACAAAAAATATATACGATTATATATATACATATATTAATCTAATTATATGTAGTTAATATGTTCAAAAAAGTAAAACCAAAAAAGATAAATTCAAATTTAAAAAATAAATATTAAAACCAAAAATCTTAATATAGTATATACATATATAGTTATATATATGTATAAAGAAGCATACTGCGAACGATGATGACGATGATATTGTAAATCTAATTTGATTTAAATCCAAAGAAAATATAAATTTAAAAACTAACAACAAAAAGTTAAAATAAAAAATATATGAAAATAAATTTTGAAATTCTGTGTGCATCCACAGAACGTAAAGAAGAAGACGAAGTAGAAGAAAACACACAAAATATATACATAAAATTAAATGAAAGAAAGGATAGAAAGATGAAAAACAAAAATAAAATTGAAATTAAAACCATTTATTGTTTTATTAAACAAACAAACAAACAAAAAAACGAAAACCAAAAAAATGAAGAAAGAAAGAACATATATAAAGATATAATTTAAGAAAAATAAGTGGAATAAATTAAATAAAAATAAAACTTGATCTGTGTTTACAATTTTTTCTGGGGTTGAATGGGAAAAACTTAGACAAATTTATTGTGACCGGCCAATTATTGGGGTAAACCCGGATACAGATTTGTATGTAAACATACTTTTAATCAGCGTAACCCTAATGGTAGAAGGATATATGTAGGCACATCGACACAGATGCTGGGACAATGAACTGTCAAAATAATTTTGAAATTTAAAATGTTGAATAAAAAATTGTTTAAACTTGTAAAAAACTTAAAAAAAGCGAATTATAAAAGCCTCCGACTGACTTCGTATAAGAAAACATATAAAGATCTACTTATCTTTGACAAAAAATTGACGTATTAATGTTCCCAGTCGTTGTAGCATCTACCTATATTCTTCTACCATGGTAACCCTTAAATGATGTTAATGTTGGACGGCCATGTTTCATTCTCAATCTCTTAAGGTCAGTTTCCACATCGTGTTAGAGTCATATGTAAAGACATACAGGATGAGATGAAAAAACTGCAACTAACTTCAGACTGCTGTCATTTCTAAGCCACTCGTCTGACAGCTGATAAAATTATTCCCGTGACAGCTCATTATATTGTTTACAAGCGTACAAAAGCATTTTGGTGAGAATTTTCCAGAAAAAAAATTATTTGTGATGGAATTCAGAGTTTGATTTTTTTATATTTGGCTGTAAAACCACAAGTGGCTATCGTTAGAGCACTCCAGCATTTAAATAAATAAGCATTTAAATAAATGAATAAATCTTTTGTGTCTCGTACCATCGCTCGTTACCGTCATACTGGTAGCGTGGCTCGACGTCAAGGAAGTGAACGGAAGAAAACAGCAACATCAGCAGAATGGGTTGAAAAGAAAAGAAGGGACTTGATCGAAACCCGCGTCGCAGTGGGCCAAAAAATGGCTCGTGAGCTAAACATATCGCAATCTTCCATTCGGCAAATATTGAAAAATGAAATTGAAATTCCAAAAAGGCCGAGAACCTACACTGCAACAGAAAGAAAATAGACTTAAAAGAGCTTAAGAGTTTCTTCGCTTGGCCGAAAGTGGTTAACTGCCGGATTTAGTTTTCTCCGATGAGAAAAAAAATTGTAAACAAACAAAATTATCGCGTTTACTTGCCAAAGAGGTCAGCTGAAAATGGCCACCAGAACTCAAGCGCCTGCCATGATGATGGTGTGGGCCGCTATAACAGCCGATGGTCGCTCTCCGCTCGTATTAATCGACCGTGGCATCAGAATATATGCCGAATATTATTGCGAAAATATTCTGGGGGGTGTATTAAAGCCTTGGGCACGCAAACATTTTGGCCGCAGATCTTGGACATTCCAACAGGACTCAGCAGCATCGCACTCAACACACGCCACCCAAGAATGCCCAGTAAACAATTTTTGCCGAATTCGGTCCGATTTCTGTCAGAATCTCTGAAAAAATGTCCGATTCTGATTCCGAATTCCTTCTGATTTCGGTACGAAAGTTGTATGGACGTGGTCACCGAATTCGGAAAGATTTTCTGAAAAAAATCTGAAAAAATATTAGATTTTCTGGACGAATTCGGTGAAAATTCTTGAAAAAATAGGAGAAAAAATTAGATTTTTGGAAAAGATTCGGAGGACAACCACCACCATCCGTTTACATGTGGGAGAGAATATGCCAGAGCAATAGACATTCTACTCTCTCCGTTTGTACATTTTTCGAGTTTTTTTTTCGCTTAAAAACACAGGAAAATGTGCAGAAATTCTAAAAAAAACGTTTAGAAAATCGGACCAATTTCTATCAGAAATTTCTGAAAAAACGTCAGAAATTTCGGAAAAAAATCTAAAATCAGAGCAGTCGGAAAAAAATTTTTACTGGGTGGTTACAAAATGAGGTTCCTCGCGTCATTTCCAGCGCTCAATGGCCACTAAAATCTCGGGATACCAATTCGTTGGACTATTGTGCCGGGAGTATTTTGGAAAGAAAGTTTAGCACTAAAAATACCAAAGTGTCGATCACCTCAAGCAATAGCCTCCCCGAAAATGGGCTAAAATACCGAAAAGCAACATTTGGGAAGCGTGTGACGGTTTCATTGGCCGTTTGAAGGCCATAATTCGTGCCAAAGGTGACCAATTCGAACAAATCCAAACTTATTCTAAAATTTGATGCTATTTCCGACATTTTTTGGCTTCTTTCAATAAAATTAAAAAAAAAATGTAACATTTATGTCGTATCTCACCCTGTATATAAATTTTTAATTCAACAAATGCAATTGAAAAATATACTTTTCAATCTATTTTTTATTTTAAATAATTCCGCAAAGAATTGCACAATTTGAACTTCTTGAAAAAGTCTGTTTTGTAAACATCTAACAGCAGGTGTAATTGGCAACCTTTTTTTATAATTCCGTATAGAATTGCACATTTTGAACATCGTAAAAGGTTTGTTTACAAAATTCTAAACAGACTTCTTTCTTATTTATTGAAATACATGTGAAAAAAAAACATTATTTATATTATCATAGAAGTCCTAAATAAATGAGTCTATGTCGCCGCTATGAGTCCATATAATATCTATTTGGTCTCATATGTAAACTAGCACTCATTGAAACGAACACATACCCGAAAAATGTATATGATTTGAAAGAAACATGTAATTTAGGGGTTATAATGCTACCCTATCTTTATGGTTGTAGCATGGCACCATCTATTAACATATATATAACACAAACCTTAACTTGTATACGTTATTGGATTTTGTCTTTGCTAACATCACAAACAATGAAGAAGTTGCCAATGTCTCATTATTTAGACATTTGGCAACTCGAACACATGGCGCGTATATTCAAACAACCAACAACGATATTTGACATTTGGTGTGGCGATGTAAACAAATCAGCAACTCATTTGGCAACATACAACAAACGTAGGAGATCATTTGGAGTTTGCTACCAAGAAAGTAGAACTTGCAAAAATATAAAATGAAACTAATTACCTCCAAGAGAGCTGTACACGTGGAGGTCTGTGTGAAGCTATTACCGGGGTAAATACACGTACATTTTGAATTTGCAGTATAAAATTTTGCAAATTTCTCGTTTTCTAGCAAAAGATTGGAAGAATTGCAATCTTTAATTGAAGGGCCACTAAGAAATTTACTGGCCCGCAAACAGCTGCCTTTCAATGAAGTAATTAAACTGAGCGAAGAAGATTTCGAAGAGGAGACGCTGAAATGCATTCAAAGTGTTTTGTTGGAATGTGAAAGTAAAAAAGATGGAGAGGTGAGTAAGACAATTAGACGTTTGGAGGGGAGATCAGGTTTAAAATATAGCTAAAAGCATTTTGTAGGGCAACTTTTCAGACTTCAGTTTTTGCCAATTTTTCGGAAAATGATCATAATTTGTCACCATGTATAACAGGCGGAGTGCTGCAAAGGAAAGGTGAATGCGTATTCAAACGAAGAACAGAAGACATAGTGTACTTTATAACATCAAATTTGTGTAGCCATAGCAAAATAGTTCGGCCTAATCCCATTATTGTTTCTGTTTATGAGAATAAGGTAAATCTGTTGGTGGAGAAAAATGGAAATGTTTATCAGAAGGTAAAGAAGTAGTATTCTATGCGTTTCGGAAAATACCACCAATCCTCATAAGTTCACTTGCGGTTTGTCAAAGTATGTTCTCCCCAGCAGTTATTTAAAATGCTCTTCACTTGGGTAAAAAAGTTGTCATCAATTTTATTAAGGGTATATTAAATTTGTCGTTCCGTTTGTAACTCTTCGAAATAATCATGTTAGACCTTACAAAGTATATATAATCTGGAGCAGAGTAAAATTCTAAGTCGATTTTAAGATGTGCGTCAGTCTGTCTCTTGTAATTACGCTATATTTTGAACGAATTGAGGTAGAAGGTTAAAATTTTGAACATATGTGTGTTTTGCCAGTAGACAGTTCGTAAATGGGCCATGTCGTTCCACGTTTTTGTATAGGCCTCGTATAACGATTCTTCGGTATTTTAATGTTTTTGGCGACATTATTCACCGGAATTGTTTCAAATTTCGTATTTGAAGTTCGAAATCGGTACTAAAGCTTATGCCAGAAAATTACTTATGCAGGTATATGTCTTTGTCACGTATATTTTTTCAAGTTCCTTTCAAATAGTGGAGGATATTGACAGTTCGGCCCGGCCAAATTTATCTGTTTTTTTTTTTTTAACGACTCCTGGAGAGACTTAGCTTACATATACATATTTGCCAAATGTCTATTTCATTGCAACGTATTAATAATTAAATTAAATGAAATATTAGTAAAAATTAATTTTAAAAACCCCACGATCACATAAGAAAACCTTGAAAAATAGATTATTCTACCTTCTGTTATTGTGCCATGAAGTGCTCGCGATTTCATAGAATCCAAACGTTTTATAAACATTTCTCCTTGCATTTCTAGCTTTCCTCTGCAGAAGATGCGGAGTACTTCATATTTCACTATTATTGGCCGCAGCTTAGACCTATGGAATTGGAAATGTTTGAAACGGAATCGGAAACAGAGGCTATACCTTCGTCCAGCCATTGGTTGCTGCCCTCAAAATCGTTTGTGGGATTATGGGAACATTTGATTTACGATGAAGGATCTAAGGAGAAGCTATTGAAATTTGCTCTGTCGGCCTTAATGTTTTCACAGCATAATGTTAATCCCAATGTGGTGTCCTGTAATCGTTTGATTTTACTGCATGGTCCACCAGGTAAGCAACTATGACCTTTATCATTATTCAGGGCAATCATGAATATTTTTTTGCAATTTTTCCGTTCCGAAAATAATTTTAAAGAGTAAACATCTTTCAGAATGATTATCTTCCAAATAGATATATTCTATTATAAACTTGATATACTTTATGAAAATTTAAGTTTACACCTTTCTCTCTAGATTTGGAAACAATAAATATGTATTCAATATAGGAAAGCAAAATTTTTATTCATGACTACCCAAATTAAAATTCAAAATAATTTGTTAAACACGATTTTTCATTCTAGGTACCGGCAAAACAAGTCTGTGTAAGGCTTTGGCACAAAAATTATCAATACGATGTCGTCCAATATTCCGTTATACCCATCTCATTGAAATCAATTCCCATTCGCTGTTTTCCAAATGGTTTTCGGAGAGTGGTAAATTGGTGATGCGTCTCTTTTCGAAGATCAAAGAAATCATACAGGACACCCACAGCTTGGTATGTGTTCTCATCGATGAGGTAGAGTCACTGGCCTATGCCCGTGACTGTATGTCCGGTCAGGAGCCGAGAGATGCCATGCGTGTTGTTAATGCCTTACTCACCCAATTGGATAGCATTAAGGAACATCCAAATGTTTTGATTTTGGCTACATCCAATTTGGCCGACACCATTGATTTGGCATTTCTAGATCGAGCTGACATTAAACAATATATTGGGTTACCCAATGAATTGGCTATACGAAAGATATATGATTCTATGATATCAGAACTGATGAGGGTGGGTATTATAGAGAGCAATGAATCGGTGCAGAGTGATGATAGACATGAGGGTCTACTCAAGGAGTTGTCCACACGTAGTAAGGGTCTGAGTGGTCGAACTTTAAGAAAGTTACCATTCTTGGCCCATGCAGCCCACACATATAATGTCGATTTCGATTGTAAGTCAAAAATAAATTTACCCGATTTTTTGGATTCAATGCTTGAGGCATTGGAGAAGCATAAACTGGATCAGGGTTTGATGAAATTGAATAAATGATTTTGAGAGAAGGAAATGGAGAAGATATTGTTGTTTTGTTAAAGGAGCGGCAGAGGTAAGAGGTAAGTGGTCAATTTATATATCAAGATTTATTCTTAAATTTTGTTTATGTTAGTCCCATACAGATTGAAGTAATGACGGTTTTAAAAGTCAAATAATTTCAGTATTATTATTTGGCCAAAGACTAAAAATAATTAGGTGCGTATTCGGATCATTTGTACAAGGTATATCTGCTAAAAGCTGTATTCTTCAGTTTTCTTCAGTTCCTAATTAAAATCATATCCAGAACCGGAACCAGTTAACAACAAAAATTCATTATTCAAACTTCCTCGGCTAAGAAGTTCAACATTCTCACAATTGAAGACTCTTCAAAATTCAATTACATGGCAAAACAGTTTCATAACTCAGGTGTACACTTAACTATTGCCCCACCCTCAGACATCCCAACATTCTCACAAGAAACACAGCAGCCAAGAAAACAGGAAAACTGTCAATAAAACCAATTTGAAATTGTTATTTGTCGCCTTTACCAACTGGTCACGTGCTAATGAATTAAATTAAAGGAATTTCTATTTTTCCCCAGACACATTTATGTTCCACACATATACATTTATATAAGTATAATGTATAAGTATAAATTTGGCTGGGCAATGATTTTGGCATTGGCTTTGTTCCCACACAGCTGTTATACTTATCCACAAATACCAAATATAAAAAGTATGACCGCCCTATTGATTTGCGGCACACTCCACTCCACTATTGAACTCCTACAATCGCAAAACAATTTTTTTCCAAATCACTGATACAGGATATGTTGTTCCCTAGATGCACACAAACGGGCAAACACACACGCACAGCCAGAGTTTTGTCGTTGGCATCTCTCTTGACTAGCAGCAGCATCATTTCCGTTAGCTGCCTTTAGACAACTAATTGGCTTTGTGCCTGAGTTTACTTGGAGAAGTGTTTTTTTTTTTTTTTTTGGTTTACGATTGAATCGATGTTGTCCCAGGTCCTTGTTTGTGTGAGTCTGTGTGTCTGGAATACTCCCATATGTTTATCTAGAAATGATGCAAGTTTAGAAATGTTTTGGTTTGGAGTATCGATAAATTGTTTAAGGTGAAATCTTTCAAATTTCAAGGAAGTGAAATGACGGAAGGTCATTGAGTCTTCTAATAAGTATTACCTTTTGTGAAAAGATAACTTGTAGCCGTTGTAACCCATTCATTCATTCTGAAAATATTTATCGCTGGCAATGACTTGGGATATGCGATTTATTAGTGTTTCAATACTGCAGGTCCTTGTTGTTTGGGTAATGTCAGGTTTAACTCTTTTCGTTGCAGGGAAGGGGCCTAAATGGCTAGACAACCAACTGTTTACATTCTTACCGGGTGTTGAAAATTATTGCCAAAAAAAGCGAAGAACTTTAGGAATTTTAACAAGACACTTTGCGATACGACTATACTTCAGGTTTTCAATAATTCTTGAAATTTAAAAAAAGGAAGAAAGAAGTTAACGATACATTTTATCAACTTTAACAAGACGCTGCGATACGACAGTACTTTTAGGAATTCTAACAAGACACTTTGAGATACGGCCCTACTTCAGATTTTCAATAATTCTTGAAATTTCAAAAAAAAGTAAAAAGCTGTATGTTCGGCCGGGCCGATCTTTGAATACCCTCACCCATTTGGAACGAATTTCGAATTTTCAAAAAATAAAATCCGTTAAAAATTCCTTTAAAATCTTCAAAATGCCGAATTTAGCCGTTATATTAGGTTCTATACGACGACGTGGACCTGTATAGGCAACTTTTGTCATAAGCCATTACAATATTCAAATGCGAAACTAGAAAAAATCGGTGAATTATGTAGCTAAAATCATCAAAACACCGAACATAGGAAGGTACCATTATATAGGGTTTATACCTAGATTTTCTGTCATAGGCTGTAGTACCCATTGCGAACTTCAAATACGAAGTTTGAAATAATTCCGGTAAATAATGTCGCTAAAATCATGAAAATACCGAATATAAGGGGGCTATACGAAGGCGTGGACCTGCACAGACAATTTTCTGTCACAGACTGTAGTATCCATTACGAACTTCAAATACCAAATTTGAAACATTTTCCGTAAAAAATGTCGCTAAAATCAGCAAAATACCGAATATCGGGAGGTGCGGTTATATGGGGGCTATACGAAGACGTGGACTTGCACAGACAATTTTCTGTCATAGGCTGTAGTATCCATTACGAACCTTAAATAACAAATTTGAAACAATTCCGGTGAATAAAGTCGCTAAAATCATCAAAATACCGAATATCGGGAGGTGCCGTTATATGGGGGCTATACGAAGACGTGGACCTGCACAGACAATTTTCTGTCATAGGCTGTAGTATCCATTACGAACTTCAAATACCAATTTCGAAATAATTCCGGTGAATAATGTGGCTTAAATCAACAAAATACCGAAAATAGGGAGGAACCATTTTATGAGGACTATACCTAGACGTGGACCCGTATAGACAATTTTCTGTCATAGGCTATAATATCCATTACGAACTTTAAATACCAAATTAGAAACAATTCCGCTAAATAATGTCGTTTAAATCGTCAAAATACCGAAAATAGGGAGGTACCGTTATATGGGGGCTTTACGAAGGCGTAGACCCACATGGCCAATTTTCAATACCAATAGTCCTGCAGACATAATATACAATTTAGTGAAATTAAATCAACCTACTTCATATCGTTCGGAAGCTAGAGTGATTTCCACAGACGGTGAGACGGACGGACATCGCTTAATCGACAAAGCTGATCAAGAATATATATACCATGTGGGATCTAAAATGTATAATTCGAGGTATTACAAACGGAATGACAAACTTAATATACCCTCCACACTATGGTGGAGGGTATCAAAAGGAATGAAAGAAGTTTAACAAATCATTTTAGCAATACTTACAAGACACTTTGCAATACGACCATACTTCAGATATCGAGAAATTTTTGATGTGAATTTTCCAAATTAAAAAATTTGTGTTCGCTTTGAAACTACCTGACATATTACCTACGGGTCCATCGAATTGGAATTGAAAACGAACGACAATCTGGATTTTCAACTGCAAAATGTAGTTGACGTTGCTGCGGTGGAGTTCGATGTAGTTGTTTTGGCCAATCCTCCAAAGTTGGTAAGTAGGCAATTAATGTAACGTGACGATCCCTAGTGTATCAATTTTCCCCAAGGTCATGACTTGAAATAATTGCCCTCCTCTACACGACATAGAATATTTCCGCCAAACATGTCAAACAGATGTCAAATGACTTTCTGGCTTTGGTTTCTAGTTTCCCCATTGAATTTTACATTTTCCGTCATTGAACTACGGACTGACAGGTATTTTTATGGGAGGGGTTTTGATGACACCCAAGGAGAGCTAGGCTGGGAAGGCATCAAAAGAAAACCAAAAACGAGAAGAAAACAAATAAAATTTTATTGCTTATTGCATCTAAGTCAACTTTTTTCGGTGCAATTGGGTGCCTGTGGGAAAATTTGAAGATTCCAGCAACCACCTATGATGTGTCAATTTGTTGGTTTTTTCTTCCTTTTTGAAGGAGGGGGGATACACGATTGCAAACACTCTTGGCAGACATTTGAGGTTGTTTTTTTTTGGTGTACTCTTCCTGACGGTTGTTATATTTTACGATATTGTGTTCAGTAGGCGGAAAAGCATATTGATATGGAAGAAGAAGAAGAAGCTTCACATGTTTGCCAATAGTTCCGCTGCACACTACCATCATGTGGTAGTGATAAGGGGGGTAGCTCTATTAAATTTCCAGCATTGAAATCTCGTTGTTTACTCTCGAAACAAATGTGACCATAAAAATCACACACACACACTCACTCACATGTACATAACCATAGCCATTAAGCCCCCCAAGTCATTTGTGTGCGGATAAGGATTTCTAATAAAAAAAAATCCTTGTTTGCTTCTTTGCGGCACTGAGAGATGAAATGTCAGGATTTGGATTTAAAGTTTACACAGCCAAGGGGATATGTAATGTAAATATGATTAGGGGAGAGATTTAGAAAAAAATGAGGACATGCTATATTAACCTATAGTAAGGGGGGATCATTCGTGAAACCTTTTTAAACTTGAATGTATGTAATGTATTTTATGTAAATGTACTAATACTTATAGTAAATGTGATACCTGGAACGATTTTAAGGTCCTTACTGCGCCATAAAAAGCTAGAATATGAGCGCATTTTCTGATCATCAAATATACTTTTGTCGGGATAAAAACGTGACCCCCAGGACTCGCTTATGAGTCTTTTTCTAGATTAAATTCAAGTCATCTTCGACCGTTTTCTAATAAGTTATAGTCTTTTTCGAATCATGTTTTAATCAATTATTGTGCTATTTATTGCCTTTTTTCTGTGACCAAAGTTGTCATCCTTCACTGGCAGCGCCATCTTACAAATCTTAGACAGTTTATCGTTCCAGCGTTCATAATTTCCTGTCACTGCAGCCTGTATGTTACTCTATAGTTATCTTCATCACTACTTGAGCATCTTATTATTACAGCGCTGCATATTTTCATCCTTCTTCGTCTTGATCTCTTTGGTGTAAAGCTCATCCTTGATTGCTACTTACAGGGTGAACTGCAACCAACTTCAGACTGCCTGTCATTTCTAAGCCATTCGTCCGACAGCTGTTAAAATTATTCCGGTGACAGATCATTATATTGTTTACAAGCGCTTAAACGCATTTTGGTGAGAATTTTCCAGAAAAAAAGTTATTCGTGATGGAATTCAGGCGTGGTAGTGTGATTTCTTTATATTTGGCTGGAAAACCACAAGTGGCTATCGTTAGAGCACTCCAGCATTTAAATGCGAATAAATCATTTGTGTCTCGTACCATCGCTCGTTACCGTGACACTGGTAGCATAGCCCGACGTCAAGGAAGTGGTCGGAAGAAAACAGCAACATCAGCAGAAATGGTTCGAAAAGTAAAGAAGCGACTTGATCGAAATCCGCGTTGCAGTGACCGACAAATGGCTCGCGAGCCGAACATTTCGCAATATTCCATTCGGCAAATATTGAAAAATGAGCTCGGGGTAATGTCATTGAAATTCCAAAAAGTGCAAGAACTTACACCGCAACAGAAAGACAATAGACTCAAAAGAGCTAAAGAGTTGCTTCGCTTGGTCGAAAGTGGTGAACTGCCGTATTTGGTTTTCTCCGATGAGAAAAAATTCGTTGTCCCGCAGTTTGTAATCGTGTTTATTTGCCAAAGAGGTCAGCTGAAAATGTGCACCTTCGGTTGGCCACCAGAACTCAAGCGCCGGCCATGGTGGTGGTGTGGACCGCCATAACAGACGATGGTCGCTCTCCGTTCGTATTAATCGACCGTGGCATCAGAATAAATTCCGAATATTATCGCGAAAATATTCTGGAGGGTGATTTAAAGCCTTGGGCACGCAAACATTTTGGCCGCAGGCCTTGGACATTCTAACAGGACTCAGCACGCGCCACCCAAAAATGGTTATAAAATTAGGTTCCTGGCTTCATTTCCAGCGCACAATGACCACCAAAATCTGCGGATACCAATCCGTTCGGCTATTGTGTGTGGAGTATTTTGGAAAGCAAGGTTGGCACTAACAAATACGAAAGTGTCGATCATCGATAATGGGCCAAAATACCGCAGAGCAACATTCGGGCAGCGTGTAACGGTTCCATTGGCCGTTTGAAGGCTATAATTCGTGCCAAAGGTGGCCAATTCGAACAAATCTAAACTCATCCTAAAATTTGATGCTATTTCCGACATTTCTTTCTTTAATTCAATAAAATTGACAAAAAAATGCAAAAATTATTGCGTTTGACTTTGTTGCAGGTTTTTATCTAACCCTGTAGGTCTAAGAGACATAACATTTTAAGAGAAAATAAGTTAAGTTATAGCACGCAGGAAACTCTTCCATCTTTCCAGCCGGTCTCTCTTGAACCTCGTTCGTTTGCCGGCTTCAATTTCCAGACTGAATCCTTTTTATGTGTCGTCTTCTTACTGTGGCCAAGATTGTCATCTTTCTCTGGCAGCACCATCTTACAGACCTTGGACAGTTTATCTTTCCAGCGTTCAGAATTTCCTGTCACTCCAGCTTGTATTTTACTCGCTAGTTATCCTCATCAAAACTTGAGGTTCCTTGAACATCTTTTTATTCCAGCGATGTAGATTGTCACCTTCTTCGTCTTGATCTCTTTGGCGTAGAGCCTATCCTTGACTTCTTCCCCTTTTCCGTTTCGACATGACATTGTGACTTTTTTGACATATGGATACTTCAATATGAGCCTCTTCAACCATCAAATCTTTGTTGATATTGGCCGCTAATTTTGCGGCCACTTCATCAGCCTTGATTTCGGATGTTGTGTATACCATTTGGGATATGAGCAAATCTTCTTTTAATTGCAATATATCAGCCTACAAGAAACATATCCTTCTATCTCTTTCTTCTCCAGCCTCTAGCTTTGCAGCTAACCTGTCACGTTCGGTTTCAGCTGCGAGTAGTGCTTTCTTTGAACGACACAAATAATAACTAAGTTGTCTTATTACCGCCTTTAAAGTCTTGCCCTTGGGTTCTGCCTTCTGGTAAGATGCTCGTAATTTGTCAGCAATACACACACAGCATTCTTGGCTTTCTTTTTCAAATTCGTGACAAGATTGAAGGCATCTTCCTTTTCATTATTGTGTGAAATCAAGGCAACCTCCATTGCCTTGACATAATCTTCCATTTCTCTCCCTTCGGCTACTGCTGTCTGGCGCACCGTTCGCTCTTGATATGCCTCACATTTCTGTCTGAACATCTCACATATCTTCATCACTACTTGAGCTTCCTTGAGCATCTTATTATTCAGCGATCCAGATTGCCACCCTTATTCGTCTTGATCTCTTTGGTGTACAGCTCATCTGCCATTGACATTTTCCGTCTCGACATGACATTTTGCTTCTTTTGGCATTTGGATACTTCTATATGAGCCTCTTCAACCATCATATCTTTGTTGATATTGACCGCTAATTTTGCGGCCACTTCATCAGCCCCGATTTCAGATGTTATAAATGCCTTTTGTGATATGAGCAAATCTTCTCTTCTTCTCTATAGCTTTCCGGCTAACATGTTACGTTCGGTTTCAGCTGCGAGTCGTGCTTTCTTTGAACAAGAATCATCACTAAGTTTCTTATTACCGCCTTCAAAGCCTTGCCCTTGGGTTCTGCCTCCTGGTTACCAGCTCGTAATTTGTCCTTAGTTTCCTCGGTAATACATAGGGCATTCTTGACTTTCTTCTACAAATTCGTGACAGGTTTGAAGGCATCTTCCTTTTCATTTTTGTGTGAAATCAAGGTTACCTTCATTGCCTTGACATTGCCATTAATCTACCATTTCTCTCCTTTCGGCTACCGCTGCCTCGCGAGCCTTTCGTTCAATGTCCAATTCGGAATTAAGTATATACACTTCATTTTGTAGGACACGGCATTTATACTCACTCACATCATTCTTCAATTTTAAGTCACGTTGAACCTTGGTGATCATCATTGGCATCGACAGAAATCTTCAGGCTACCCTCAAGTTTCATGTTCGTAGCTTGTAACTTGCTTCATCTAATAACTTGGCCTATTCATTAGACACAGCTATTTATTTAGCTGAAGCCTCGTTTACGCTCCTGACATCCTTTTGAACATCTGCAACCGTCATCCTTTCATAACATAAAACATCGTTATTCTCCATCGCTAAAGCCTCGTCCACGTGCAGTAGCGTAGGATGCCTTAAAGTGCATATTTGACACTTGTTGTTGCTGAGGCATCTTTTGTCTACCTTGTGTTGTAGACAGAAGCAGTACATTCTCAATTGTTTAGAACAGAACTTTTTTCTCAGTTGGTGTCATAGAAAGGAATTTTCCACAGTCCGTCATCTTATGCCCAACTTCATTACAGGCATTGCACGACTCCTGTATATGGTTGATTTCCTTCTTCATTCTTCTCACTGGCAACCATTTCACGGGTACGTCCTCCTGGGGATATGCCTCACCCCTTCAGTCTGAACATTTCAGATAAGAAGTCCACTCGGTAAGTGTGCCCAGCGCCACCAGTCTTATTTGCTGATGGCTCTTTCTCTGTATGGGAACAATTCCAGCTATAGTT